GGAGGAGGCAGAAGAAGAAGAAGAAGAAGAGGAGGAGGAGGAAGAGAACGACGACGACGAAGAAGAAGGAGGAGGAGAAGAAGAAGAAGAGGAAGAGGAGGCGGAGGCGGAGGCGGAGGAGGTGGAGGAGGCAGAAGAAGAAGAAGAAGAAGAGGAGGAGGAGGAAGAGAACGACGACGACGACGAAGAAGAAGGAGGAGAAGAAGAAGAAGAGGAAGAGGAGGCGGAGGCGGAGGCGGAGGAGGAGGAGGCAGAAGAAGAAGGAAAACGAGGAGGAGGAGGAGGAGGAGGAGGACAGGGAGGCCGGAATAGCATAAGTAATATCGTAAGCAGAAGGAGGAGGAGGACGGTGAGGAGGTGGAGAAGGATGAGGAGGTGGACAAGGAGGAAGCGGAGATGGAGGGTGAGAGCGCGAGGAGGAGCAGGTGGGGAGGAAGAGGAGGAGAGGACGGAGGAAAGGATATGGAGTAAACGAAAGAAGAAGAAGAAGAAGAAGAAGAAGAGGAGGAGGAGGAGGAGGAGGAAGAGGAAGAGGACGCATGGCAGGAGATCGAGGAGGACAAGGACAATGAATGATGACCGAGCTAACCTCACTCCCCGGAAGGCACCGCACCCTCTAATGAGTGTATACAAGCTAATTTTCCGGTCCGGTACAGAGTACCGATGAAGTCGCGTTGTGTTCGGGGGAAGACGGTAGCGTTAGTAATCGTCAGAGGAGGGTAAGGAGGAGGAAGAGTGCCGGAGGAGGAGGATAAGGAAAGGGAGCTGGAGGGCACTACGAAGGAGGGGGAGGGGGAGGGGGAGGGCACTAAGTAGGAGGGGGAGGGGGAGGGGGAAGGGGAAGGGTATTTAGAGGGAGGAGGAGGAGGAGCAGCACCAGCAGGACAAGGAGGAGGAGGCATGGGAGGAGATGCAGGAGAGGACATAGCGAAAGCATAAGGAGTAAGAAAAGGTAGATCCAATCAAAGGGACGGCGACGTGAGAAAACGACAAATAACCGAGCGATTTGACACCGATAAATGAACTGACGAATGGATAATGGGCCTCGCTCCACGGCACAACATTCTAAAATGAATCTGGAGCTGGAAGCTGTCCCGATGCATTCGAAATGTTGGATAGGTCAGAACGCATCTGACCCACAAAACAGTTCACATACGTGTCGACTGTTGCGTAGTGGAGCGAGGCGCAAACTTTTTGGATAAGGGGCAATCAAGCAGCAACTACCCTGTTAGCAAGTACTCCTTTTCCTTCCACCCGTCCCCCCCCCCCCCA